GTGAGGTAACAGCTCACTGAATGAGACAATAGTTTCTCCTACAAAGGGTCAAAGATTTGAACCCTGCTGGAGGGCACATTTTCTTTATTAAGCCTTTCGAATGTGCAGGTCAATTGATGTAATTCAAACTGCCTAACAAACTGGAAACCGACTCAAACATAGGTATTGACAAAATAATGTCAGATAAAAAATCCAGTGATTCCTTATATATAAAGACTCAATGAAGAAAAATCCATTGATTCCATATATATATATATATATTTTTTTTTTTTTCTTAGTAAGGTCTTCTTGATTTCTAGGCTGGTTGACATCAATTTCACTGTTTAAAATAACAGTGATGTCAACTCTAAACAGGTGTACCCACTTAAAATAAAAATTTTAAGGATATATATATATATATATATATATATATATATATATTTCACTTATATTTACTCCTGTAGGATGCAATAAACAAATTTTTGTTTTCAAGTTGAATTGAAAAGTAGAAAAGAAAAAATTATGATAAAAAAAAAAAAAAAAAAAACTTGCAGGCTACTGAACATGTTTGAATTGTGGAAGTTATGAGCATAGTTTTCAGCTAGGTTCTGTATAAATTAGGAATAGGAATAATAATAATAATAATAATTTCAAGTTCTAACACTGTAGCTCACATTATTAGCCATTTCACGTTTTATCTCTGTATAAACTAAATATTAACTGGAATCCAAAGGTTTATTTGCTAAATGCTAGCAACATCAATCTGAGCAGTTAGGATGAAACTTAGTATATTCTGTTCTACTGTAAACAAATGTCAGCCATTTGTATGAAATGTCCTAAATTTGGAAGTCTCAAATTAATTACCACATTGTAAATTTGAATCACTAATATGGTTTGTAAGGCTTATTTAATAGCAAAAGGGAAATGTGTAATATGTTCAGTCTGTGCTCCATATCCAGAAGTTATACAACATCTGTATTTGTCAAGCTATTAAATATCTAGGCATTGTAGCAATAAGGAAGGACTGGATAGCACAAGATGTCATATTCTAAATCAAGGGGTAAAACATGTGAGACCAATTACTAGGGCTTCCTTAGAAAGAAAATAAGGAAAATTGAATGAAAGTGGGTAACAGAATACATGAAGATTGATTTTCAACAATTCTCTTCAACAAGAATGACATGTTACTTTCGATAGGCGAGACAGATGGAACAAAGGCTGGGTGGTTATTGACAAAAGCCACTGTTGCAGGTTTAGACATCAACAAGGAAGATGTGATATATTTTTTAGGGTGATATTACAGATGGTGAAATCATGTATCCATTGAAAGTTCTGGACAGTGTTAAGATAACTGTTCAAACATACACTGACTTTTTTTTTTAAGGCACGCATGCAACCATGGTTCAAGAAGAAACCAAATGCTATTATAAAGATGATTTTCATGCACAACATTGCTCCATCACATTCAAAGAAAACATCGAAATAAAAATGGGTTGTTTGACAAAGTGGTTGGTTTGTTTGCACAACCATAACCCGACTGAAAATTTATGGAATATTTGTGTGTGAACAGTTACATTGGTAGATGGTCAGTTACTAGCAAAGATGAACTTTGGTATGCTATTCTTAATGCTGTGCAGTCTGGTTGATAAACAGAAATATAACAGCTCACAAAATCATTGGGTGAATAGTTTCTAAAATTAGTTTCAGAATATAGAGCCTATATTACATATTATTTACATTTTTATAACTCTGTCATAATTACGAGGACACTCTTTGAAATATTTTGTTAACAATTTTGTACATGTTCTGCAATTATATTTTTTAATTACAGCATAATATCGCTTGGAATTTCAGTAAACTGGTTAATAAAGTTGGTAAGAACAACATATTTTCTACTATATTTAACAGATATAATGTGAAATTATGCTCATTAATAACACAAATCCCTTAATTACTTTTCTAAAAATTAGGAAAATTAAAAGTGGCAAATAATGTGAGATACAGTGTGAATACACTTATTGTTTTTGTTTGTTTAACATGCAATTGCCAAATTTGTTATTTTTTGACATTTGTACCATTTATTAAAAACAACACATTTTTAACAGATATTTTAAATACATTATTTTTGATTATTCAGTAAAAAAATGTATTTCAGTCCATTTATTTTTACAATATACATTTTCAGGCAAATATGAAATGCCTTTGGAATTTATGATGTTCATGTTTTAGAATTACCTGAGTCTGAGCAATGCCATAATGTATATGAATCTGTGAAGAACATAAATTCTTTATTTAGAGACTATGCTGTTAGTGGATAGAGTGCAAGATTTTGTTTTCAAAATTTAGCAACTGGAGAATTTAACTTAGAAAACTAAATAAGAGACCTAGTCAGATCCATAATTATATTAGAAAGTTTTGAAGGAAGTGATGGAAATTAATCCAAAAACCTCAAACAGATAATCTGGAGAAAACTCCAACATACTGAATAAAGCCATTTAAAATTATTGTAAAATACTGAAGAACAAATATTTCAGCAATATTGCATTGTGTTTAAAAATATAAAAATGTCAAGAAATGGATTAAAAAATATGAAAATGATGCACTTTTGCATTGTACAATTATTTGCAATAATGAAAAAATGGATTTGGGCTCATAAACAGAGAAGATCTGTACACTAGCAGAATAATGCTAAGAAACTTTAATATCAACCAAAAACTACATTTTCTTTGAAGGTTATAGTCAATATTTGATACATTTTAGATTCTTTCAAAGTGATCCCCAGACCAGTTTGAAATAGCATATTTAAAACCCCAAAAGACTGAACTCAACTTAGTGAATAGAAAGTATTATCATTTTGCAATGTGACAAAGCCTTTCTTCATATTCTGCATTAGGACAAAGCCTTTCTTCATATTCTGCATTAGGACAAAGCTTTTCTTCATATTCTGCATTAGGACAAAGCCTTTCTTCATATTCTGCATTAGAACAAATTCTGCATTAGGACTCATATTCTGCATTAGGACAAAGCCTTTCTTCATATTCTGCATTAGGACAAAGCTAGCACTCATATTCTGCATTAGGACAAAGCCTTTCTTCATATTCTGCATTAGGACAAAGCTAGCACTCATATTCTGCATTAGGACAAAGCTTGCTGTTATATTTTGTATTATGACAACGCTTGCCCTCATTTTGCAAAAATGGCATTACTGGCTAAAGATTTTAAGATCATTTTCTGCAAGAACCTTTCAATGTTCATGAGCTAATTTTCAAAATTGAAATCTCCATTTGCCAATTTTTGACACCAGATTCTTACATGGCATTCAGTAACAGTGTTTTCATCAAATGAAGAATTTATCTTTCTCACAGCTTTAGCTCTATTATTCTTGCAACTGCATCAATTGAAGATGGAGACTTTTTTTTATTGTCTACAGACTATTTACCTGACCTCACTTATAGATTACAGTTTTTCAAGAATGTACATTATTTTCTTGCAAGTAAGAATTTCTCAAATTAGGATTTAAGTCTTCAATTAGTTCTCTTGAGTGGAAAGTTCTTGAGAAAGGGAACAGATAATTTGATAACAAAGTGTAAGGAATATATAGTAGCTAATCTATGAATATTTGGACTGAATACTTTCATATATAATTTTCATTTATTTCCTTTAAATCAGCAATTTCATGTTCAACAACCTGACAGTTTATATAATACCAATCCTATTTTTCATTTCTAAGTTCTATCCATTGATTTTCATTGTCTACAATCAGTTCAGTATTTGTTTATGCAAAACATTATATGAACAAATGCAGGATTAAACAAATAATGCATAAAATTTCACAATAAAAGATGATATATTTCTGAAACTTCTATAACATAATTGAAAAAAAGATCGTTAACATATATACAAGTATAAACAGATAATTATTAATTTATGCCTGCAAATATATATGGTATGTAAGTAAACTGCGTAAGCATATTTATAATATCATGTATAGATATTTACACAACTACACATTTAAAATGCACCCGTTACATGCATAATGCACATAGTTTTATGCAGGTATATGCACATCCAAACAACTACAAAAGTTTTAAAAAAGAGCATTTATAATTTAAGATTTAATTTATAACAGTTTATTTGTATTTATTTAACTTTAAACATTATTTTTTAGTGGATATTCATATTTGAGCAGACCTGTTTATTTAATTTCATCTACTGGCCTGAACATTTGAGAAATCTTATTAAAGAAAAATATGCACTTTCCAGCAGGATTCAAACCAGAGTGCCTCTGGGCAGATGGAAGCCATCATAAGATCCATGCCTTACCGATCAAGCAAAGTCTGAAATGTGCCTCTAGGCAAAATCATTCTTGTATTAAATTCCTTGAAATTTTCATATCTGCTTAGTTTTGTATACAAACGTAAACAAAGTAATTTTCTAGGGTAATGCGTTTTTATTTATCAATCCAACAGATTTTTTATCATTTTAAACATTATTATTAGTGAATAATCATATTTAAGTAGACACTCCATTTATTTATTAAACAGTATATTTATTTTTGTTTACTGGCCTGAATATTTGAGAAATCTTATTAAAGAAAAATATGCTATCTCCAGCAGGATTTGAACCTGTGTCCCTCTGGGCAGAGGGAAACTGTCATTAGATCCAATGTGCCTTAACCAACTTGGCCACAAAGATGCTTTGCTGATCAAGCAAGGTCTGAACAGTGTCTTCGTTTTTATATAAACAAAGATAAAATGTTTTAAATTTAATAAACCTTAATGTTTGCAATTTTGAAGATAAAGATTTTATACTTTTATCATGTGCAGGCTGGCAGCTCACGTTCACAACCACCTCAATAGTGGGGGAACATAGAATGTGAGGAAAGAGAGGAAGTAAAATGCTTGTATATCATTATAGATAATTATAAAAATAATTTTTAAAAATGAGCTAAATTTGGAGAAACAGTATGAAAACAAAATAAAAACATTTAAGGAGAGATAAATTGTTTGCAAGTGACTCACCTCGTGTGCATTCACAATGTGAGTCCAAATAAGTTAGGACTGTTCCCGTAGCTACTGAGTAACCTAGCAATCGCGCTCTGATCAGACCCTCCCTCTGCTTCGTACGAACAACTTTCACTTTACCAAGTTTGGCAATATAATCTTCTAAAGGCTGCTTTAGATGCGCTGTAATAATAATAATAATAATGATAAAAAACATCAGAAAAATAATTAAACAAAAGGTGAAAAATAATTTTACAAATATGAAAAAAAAAACCTGTTAAAGAAAGGAATCACAGGCAATAAAACAAAAACAATCATTTGTAATAGTATTCAAATTTTTTTTACATAAAGTATTGTCAGTTATTATCAATTTTAGATATTCCTCTTAATTTCAGTTGCTTTTCATTGTCATTTTATAATTATTAACAAACTACATGGACCAGAAATAAAGAATAAGCTTGAACTTGCATTGCTTTTCCCTTTACAAGTCTACCTACAAGAATTAAAAACATTGATGATGGCTCTCCATAACTTTCTTTTGCTATCTCTAAGTAATGCTTGACTCCTTACTATCCCTCCTAGTGTCTGTTCTGCCATTCATTTATCCAGATTTGTCAAGAAGGTTGCTTGTGTTTCCCTCTGTCCCTCTTGGCTTCAGTATGACCTGTCAGTGTCAAAATCATCAAGCCCTCTTTCCTCATTATGTGTATGAGCAGCATTGGTAGAATTATTTAGATTATTTTATTTCTGTCTGAAATAAAAGAATTTACTTGAAATTTATTAAGTTTCCTGCTTGTTTAAGAAACCTTTTAGAGCTAACAAGTGATGAACAAAAGAAACATATTTATTTAGTTTTTGAGTTATACTTAATTAAACCCATGACAAGACTAAAGAGACACTCAAAGTAGAGGGTTTAAAACTGGACTGGTAATGATGAATGAGGTGTGAGACATGAGTGGAAGAGAAGGTGGTAGGAAGTAGAGATTATGTAGTATTTGTGAATCCAACATAGACGGTAGCTTATCCCCCAGTTTACTTCAATATTTGTGGCTTTAACTGAGTTCAAGAAATGCTTGAACATAATCAGATATATAGTGATTACTATCAAGAGTTAAAAAGATGACAACTTATCAGTAACATATGAAAAATGACCTACAATCTTCTGTTAACTGCAACAAGGAATGGTGTGTTAATTTTAAAGCCTCCAAAATGAAATTGGTATCTCTTTCTGCTTTCCATCAGTATGGCTGAAGCTAAATTCCAGGAGAGTGACTCATTCTGCCTAATAAGGTTAACATTTTCTGTTGACATGAAGTGGAAAGATTATATTGAATCAATTGCTAGGTTTGCTGCTTGAAAAGTTGGTTCACTGTGTCATGCTAGACAATTTTTCTCTCTAGAATCTATCTTGCATATTTATAAATTTACCATTTGTCCATGCTTTGAATATTGCTGCCATATCTGGTCTGGTGCTCCTTTTATATATTTAGAGATCCTTGATAAAATTCAAAGAAGAATCTGCAATTTCATTGGTCTTGACCTGGAATCTTGGCTACAGTCACTTTCCCACCACCATAATGTACCTTCCCAGGGCCTTTTCTATAAATACATTCATGGTAAGTGTTCTGATGAACTTTTACTCTATGGTACTTAGACTTTATGAATTTAAGCATAGTACTAGATTGGCAGTAAGGTCTCATCATTTTATAGTTGAAATGGCTACATGTAACCCTAAGTACTATGCTAACAGTTTCTTCTATCGCACTTCTTGCTTTTGGAACTCTCTTCTGGCTACATGCTTCCTAGTCAACTTTGATCTTCAAAAATTTAAAAGCAATGTTAACTTATCTTTGGTCTTCTTAATTCTTTTTCTTTTTATTGTTCTCTTTCCTTACTAGTATTTTTTCTCATATTGTCTAACACTCAATAAACCCTTGTGCCTTAGTAACTTTATTGTATTGTTTGTGGTGAAATGATTAAAAAAGAAAAAAAAAACACTATCCAAAATTTATTGTGAAAGGATAGGTGCACACATTAATCTGATATGTGACAAAAACTAAATAAATGGAAGCCATAATAAGAATTTGTATAGATTTATAAACAAATCTCATAATGAAATCGCAATTATCATTTTTCTCTTTTAATAATTGTTCACTAATTACTTTTCTGGTTTTGATTTCCTTCTTGATTTTCTCTTCTATTCAAATCCCTTCATCTCATTCTCTCAGATTCAGTTGCTCTACAAAAGGGCCGCTGAAAAGTTCTTGGCTTGATCTACATCAGAAAAATCAGTATTTTAATGACCAAACATAAGAATATTTTGGGAAGTGGGTTGGGCAGAGAACTTTTCAGTACCCACCCTTTGTATATGCCGCTTATTGATGTATTGTTTTCTTTTGTTTCTCTACACCTACTGCTTTCAATTTCTTCCTCATTGGTCAGCAAAATTATGGCCTAATGATCAAAACGAGTTGGTAGATGAAGATAAAGATCTCCTGTGAGCCTCTTGCAAGAATTTCAATGTGATTAGAGGCATTCATTAATCCAGTGCTATTGCTCTACAAATATCAAACATGCAATTAATCCCCGAGGCAGTAAATATAGATCTACAACCCTGTCTGCTTGCAAATCAAATTAACTTCAGTCATCAGATTGTAGCTAACAGACACATATGCTTTGGCTGGAACCAAAAATAGTTAACACTGGAAGATTTGGCAAACTTTCATCTTAAATTGATCATGAGAAGAATACAAAATTTATTAATGACATGATTTGGACACTGCAAGGTAAACATCAATTTTAGAGCTTCAATTTGTCTAATTTCCAAAATAGAAACAACTGTCACTATCAAATAACATTACTTAATAAAAAATAAATACTGAACTGGATAAAACGCCAAATATTTATATATCCTCTTCAGATATTCAAACTTACTTATTTTATGAATCATTTCTTCATAAAAGTTAAAGACAAAAAAAAAAAAAAAAGATTTGGATTTATTTTCATTTTAATATTTTATTTTTAGACCAGCATATGAGAAACATGGAAACTTTTGCAACAAAGCTTAGTAAATATCTATCAAAAAGGTGCTTTCTGGTAACTTAAAAAAAAAAAAAAAATTCAGTAAAGTTTACATTTGTAATACATACACAACACTCAATTCTATTTAAAAAGAAGTGATTATTTATTTTGTAGCTGGTATCATTTAACACATTAGTAATGTTGTTTTGTCAAAAATATTTTTGAAATTGTATCCAAATGAAACGGTCTAATGGGTAAGGCAACATAAAACAGAAACGTTAAGTTACAATACTTGTTGCCAAGCAACAATATTATTTTTCAAAAAGCCATTAACCTAAAAAATCCCACATTTGCACTTAACTAAACAGGATAAAATATAGATAAGAAAAGGTAGATAAAAAATTTAGTGGGGAGATGAACTCTTAAAAATAATGAAAACCATGAGAACGGCAATTATTATTACAAAGTTCATGATCATGAGTCCAGTAACCTTTAGGTTTGTAGGAGTACTACATGTACTGTAGTCACAGTAGTAGTGGTGTTTCCTGGACAAGTTAGCCTGAGAGAGCCCAATACTTTCTAGGCTGGTTTTTCCTTTTCCTAGACTGGCTGCTACCCAAGGCTATAGGACCCAGTCTGTCCTGCTATTTACCCATAGCTAAAAGGAGAGGAGATGAATTCATACTTTTCCCAAGGGTATTAGCACATCAGTGAATTTAATAAACATGACTGAAATTTGAACTTGGCTTTTTGATTCCTCAATCCATTACTCCACATAGCAAAGATAAGGAAAAATATATAACATATATCAATCATGTAAAGTGTTTATAATTTTCCAATACAAGAGGTAATTAAGATTGAACATTTGTTTATTTTAATTTTTTTTTAAAAAAGGTTGTCATCTAAAGTGCTGTGGGTGATGCATCATGAAGCCAAGAAGTCACTAGTCTTTGGGACTTCACCATTCCTGCTGACAGACATATAAAATCTCATAGATCAGACATAATGATTAAAGTTTGAAAACAAAAAATACCTTCTCTTAGACATGGTAGTGCCATCAGATAAAAATATATTTGTTGAAGAATATGAAAAAATAAGTAAACATAAGGATCTTGAAATTGAGAAAAAAAAGAAAAAGGTACCTTAAAAATACTGTAATACCTTTAATAATTGGAGCACTGGGTCCAATCAAAAAAGGTACAGAGAAGAACATTAACAAGATCCCTGATAGTCTCTGTTCATAAGAGATTCAAAAAATTGCACTGTGTAAAATGGAAAGAAAGCATTATTAATGGTGTTAATATTGTATGTGGAGAAAACAACTGGAAACCAGTCCATTATATTTCCCAAGAATATATGGCAATTTACAGATAAACAAAAGGAATCTGTGGAGATCAATGACTTCCTATATTCTGAAATGACACGGCATTAAAAAAAAAAAAAAAAGAATGGTTAAGTATCACTTAACATCAGCATTTATGCAAACATCTGCATATATTTAGTATCTTGCCATATTTCACATTTCGAGTAATGATCCAATAAGGAATAGTACTTAACAGAAAGATGATGATGATGATGATAATGTTTTGAAATTTCAAATGTAGACAATAACAACAGAAAATAAATAAATGGTGATTAGAAACTATTAAAAATTATGGTGGATCAAATCTTTTTGACTCAGTTCACAGCAAAATTATCACAGTACCAATTATAGGTTCTAAATTTGTTTATTTAATTTAGTAAATGAATAAGAAGAGAACTTATAAGAAAATTCAATAAATAAACATTATTGAAAAAATCTCTGCTTGTATAGCATGTGAGAACAATCATTTGGACAGATAATTTGCAAAGATTTTATTTTAACACATATTCTCACATTGAAGTCTGATCATTTAGTACCTCTTAGAAATTAAAAAAACAAAAAAACAAACAAGTATTAAAGTATTAGGGTAATTAACCTCATTTATCAATTAATATTGATATGACGGAAATATGAATTAATCCAAGAGTAATATTATTTTATATAAATAAATTCAAAGAACTTGTAGAATCTGAGTACTTTACGAAAAACTGTACAATGTCTCTGCAAATAGAGCAAAATCTTACTGACTGAACAAAAAGAAAGAAAAAAAAAACAAACAAAAAAAACACAAACCAATGTC